AGGCATAGACTATACAGAAGACCTTCTCTCCCTAATACTAGAATGACTCGCGTTAGATCATCCTGCATTGATAGCTCATTATGACTTGAGTTGCATCAAATGGTATGTGGAAAACTGTTTTTCTAAATGGGAATTTTGGATGAAATGAAATTTATATGGAGCAGCCGAAGGATTTGCCAAAAGAAAGGATAAAGAACATTTTAGCTTGCAAATTAAAGAAATCCATATACGGCCTTAAACAAAGCTTCCAAGCAATGTATTTAGGTTTAATGATTACCTGAGAGGGTGATTTTATTGATCCGGTGTTGGGCCGAGTATCGACCGAGGCAAAGTTGAGGGCCAGCAGTGCATTGGACCGAGATTGATCGACTGTTTACACCCAGAGATGGGGCTACCAGAACTTGGCCGGGCAGAGTTTGGGTGAGGTGTGTACCAGCCCGGACGTCGCGGAAGACGCTACGCCAGGAAAGTGGACGGTCAGAACCAGGATGCTGCGTCCGAGCGATGGTTCGAAACCAGGACAGACCGAGAGACGCGCGGCGCTCGGAAAGGCGCGGTCAGCGAGGTAGTGATGACGCGGCCGAAGAAGGCCGACGCAAAAGGAGGAGCCCGGGCTAAGGCTTTTGCCGAGATGCTCGCCGTAGCCCGCGTCCTTCATGTGTTTGTACTGGCTATGGCGCATGGGTTTGAAGCATGAATGGCCGAGTGTAGAGACAGCTCGGCTGCCGAGCGGTCCCAGCTGTGAAGTCAAGCAGTTGAGGTTAGGTGCGTGAATGCATGGTTTTATGCCTGACAGATGGGATATGCAAGGCACGTGTCAGGAGAATGACTGGGAGTGGATATGGGTTCAGAAGGTATAAAAGCATGCCTGGCCACCCATACGCGAGACACGAACACATCTGTAAGATTTCTACACTCAAAACACTCTCTCCTCTTCTCTCTATCCATCCAGGTGTGTGCTAAACTTGCCGTACGGAGGCGGTTTTCCGCGGCCACACTCCGCCGGTAGCTCACTTATTACTTGCTCGCAGGTGATTCGGACAATCGACGGAGCTGTCGGAAGAAAGGAATACGGGCACGCTGAAATATTTGCCCCGTACAATACCATTATCTCTTTCGCGATTAAAGGAAAATGCAGTGATCAGTGTAATATATCTGAAGGTTAGTGGGAGCAAGTTCATTATTATTTGGTGCTATATGTGGATGATATTTTGTTAGCTAGTAATGACTTGCTTATTACATGAAACCAAGGATATCTCTCCAAAAAAAAAAAAAAAACCTTTAAAATGGTCGATATGGGTGAGGCAAACTATTGTTTTTGGCATAGAGCATTCTTTAGGATCGATGCTCGAGGATTGCTAGGACTAATCACAGAAGAGGATATATTGATCGTGTTTGGAGAGATTCAAATATGCAGTTTTGTTCATGCCGGGATGCACTCATGAGGGTGATAAATTAAGTGAAAAACAGTGTCCAAGAATGACTTGCAAAGAAAACAAATGAAGGACATTCCATATGCTTTGAGGCTACAAATCATGCTTTATGGTTGCGAAATTTCATCTCGGACTTGGTGTTGTTGACCAATTACCAGGCCGTTGATGATATATGTGACAATACCGCCAGGCAGTTTTTTCCTCAAGAATGGAAAGTACTTCAGTGGTTCCAACACCATGGAAGTAAAGTCTTGGTTGTTAGAGAAAGAGTCCAGAAACAACAAGCTTGTTAATTGAAAACTTTAAGCACATTCTTATATTGTTGATCCATTCAACAAGGGATTGCCACCCAAAGACATACAAAGAGGCATGTTATCAGGATGGGTCTTTAAGCAACCCTTGATGTGTGTATGGTTAATCGTGAGTGCTTATTTTCATTTGACACTCTATTGCGGCAATTAATAATTTTGTTTCTGCTTTTTCCTGTTCTAAAGTTGTGGTGTACACAATTAAATTATATATTGATAACAAGAAATGTTCTTAACAAGACAAATGTTACAATAGCTTTTAGGTAAATAATTATATATCCCAATAAGGACTGGGTTGGTGAAGGTTACTGCAATTTTGGGTGCTGGTGGCAATAGAAGGAAAATATGACATAAATGTTATACAACACGCTATAACTCCACATTGGGATCTGAAGTATCACAGTATTATTTTCTAATATATGAACTTCATATGGCTATTTTTTTATAAATTCGTGATCAACATGTCAAAGTTTTAGTGTGGAAATCCAATGAGTCAAATTTTTTAAGTGCATATTTTTGAAAAACCATAATTGCATCATAATCGGCTTAATGGGCCAGTGGGAGAATGTTGTGATTTATTTTTCATACGTGTAGGCCAATAGCCTACAATATTTTCTACATGTTTATTATTTATTTTGGACTCCATCAAATAGATAAAGCCAATATTTTGGAGATCAAGTTTCAGAAAATAGAATTTTAATATAATCACTCTTCTAAGATAAGAAGAAACTTGATGGATTATGAATTCTTACTAATAGAGTTTATCTGACCTCTTCTCTCTCTATATAAGGATGGGTGACTCCCCTTTCATATCATTAAGTATTATTTCTCACTCTAGTTTTATAGTCATGCCTACATAAAGTGAGAGAAGAGAGAAGAAAGGTGAGCCAAGAAATTAAAGGTTTAACTATTAGGGGTATTTTCTCAACTTTCTCTAATTCAATGGCTTGACCAAGTTGTTCGTTTTTATTCTTGAGTTGTATGAATTCAAGAATCCCTATAAAAGTTTAATTTCGCATTATTATTATGTTACATGTATTATTAAATCTTACATTCAGAACACCTAAAGGAAGGGGGTGCGGTTCTTGAGTTAAAATGGTGATCTTATAAGTAGATAGATATTATCAAATTGGTGGGTTAAGAATGAACAGTATGATTTTCAAGACATTACACGTGTTAGGTATTATGTGTTATGTAAGTTTGGTAAACGTCCTTGCTGTTGTTGTCGCAGCTGCTTTTTGCTACATCATGATCATCATGTTACTATCTTTTATGTAGTCAGCTATTTAATGCACCCCCCCCTGATCATCCAAATGGCTGTACTATTTATATGTAGTCAGCTATATTATGCTAATCTTGTGTCATACTTGAAAGTTGAAACGCATCAAGATTAACATGCAGTATGTTACATTCGATTGAAACTCTTAGCTTAAACTTATTCCATGTGAAATGTTGCTATATGCAATTTCCCTGAATTTGTATAATTCTAGAGATTGTGTTCACATAGTTTGCATTTTCAAAAACTTATTCATTTTACATCTCTAACAGAATTAGACTTGCAGTCTTTAAGGTTATAATGGAAGAACGCACAGAGTCATTGAAAGTTTAAATTATGATTTGAATCAGGATGATTGTGACAGGTTGAGGAAGGAGACTGGTAATTCACTTGAATCTAGAAGACATGGTTGACCTCACAGCCTTTCTAGATCCATCAACTGGCTGCAAGGTTTTTCCTTCTCCAGTATGAAGTTTTGCATTCTTGTTTTTCTTTTCTACTGATGTTTTTAAGATTTGAGAATTGTTTGGTGCCAAGAGCAATTAGTGTTTTAGTAACTTAGATTTTAAACTCTTAATTGCCATTACAGTTTTATAATTGTTACAGTAAAAACCATAATTTAAAATATATATATATATATTATTAAACATTATCATATTCATAGAGATACATTTGTCATGCAGAGAGTCCAGAAAACCATCATGACTAAGGACAGTTTGGTTCTATCTAGAGCCATTTTATTCCGTAAATCTGGGTGATCATCTAATTACCTCCATCTGTACCAAAAAGCATATACAAAGAATCATCATCATCATTAAACACCTGTTATATGCATCACATGGGCCGGTGGGGTTGTAAATTAAAACCCCAAACTTTCTGAATTCTATACAATTCAGTATAACCCATCCATGGTTACTAAATACTTCTGTTTTCTCAACATCAAACGTGCACTATGTATAATACTGGGAATAGTCCCCAATTTGCCAGTGCTCAATTTTTCTCATAAAGAAATTTATAGGATGTGTTTGGATTATGGATTTGAGTAGGGATTCATAAAAGGACAGGACGAGTAAAAGGAGAAATAACAAAATTAGAAGCTAAAATTGTCACTTTTCCCTGTGCTAAAAATTTATTATTTGGGAACAAAAGTGTATCATATTTTGAAATATGCATTCTAAAACATAAATCGGTAGGGTATTAGTATTTTTAGTAACATTGCCCCCGGTAGTGGTGAGTGTTAAAGGGTGGCAATTGGTGTCACTACAAGAAATAAGGGTTTTTGCGACGTTTTTTTAACGGTGTTTTCATAAACATCATCTTTATTAATATTTAACAACGTTTTAAAAACGTCGCATATTTATTTAATTAAAACGATACCGTTTTATGATCAAAGGCGTTTAAAAGCGCCTCCAAATGCTGTACACCGCACGCGCCTATTTTGAATCAGAGAATAAAGCTTTGTAAATCTTCAGGTCTTCAGACATAAATGTTGAATCCTCTGAACCCATATCCTCACGTCACGCCTCTCTCTCAAGCCTCTCTCTAAACCCTTATCCTCACGTCGCCTCTCTCTCAATCCTCTCTAAACATTGAATCTCACATTCAAATCTCACAGATTCACCGATTTCGAAGCTCTACCTCCACCACCATCTGTACCAGCAAGGTAGCGAGATTCATCGATTCACCGATTTCATAGATTCACGGATTTCAGATCGATCTGCACCGCCATCGCGATTTCGATTCTCTCTCTAGATCTCTCTTTCAGAGATTCATCTTTGATTTCATCTCAGAACGATTTTGATTTCTCTCTCTCTCTCTCTCTCTCTCGATTTCAAAGCTCCACCGCCACCACCATCTATGCAAGCTTCCATGGCTTAGCACCTCATCTTCTTATCTTTTCCATTTTGTATATACATATACATATATGTATATTTATTGATTCTCTCATGTACATACACGTATCTGTATAGACACCAATCGATAATGGAGCAGAGCTTCTTCGATTTGATCTATTTTCTACACTGCCCAGGCCTCGCCGAGACATTCCTCGACGTTTTACTCTCCTCAGTCCCGATTTGGCTCACTGTCATGATCGGCCTTGTTATCGATTGGTCCTGGCGCACTAGGTGGACCGGTTTTTAACCGCACATCATATTCGGTTTCTTCTATATAGGTGTGTGTGTACATTAGTACTAACATTCTATAAATTTAGTGAACAATCATTTTAGTTGTTGAGGTTTTTAATGTAATCTTTGGGATAATAAAGTATTTTTCATTGATTATAGGTCGGCTTCCTAACACAAAGAGGTTGAATTTGGAAGCTATAGGTGTTGAGCTTCACGAGATGGGAGCCGTAAAGGTTAATAACTTTTTCTTCGTCTTTTATTGCATTTGTTGTTCTTTGATGTGATGATGTGTGTATGGCATTGGCAATGTTCAAAAAATTATGAACAAGAGTGAGATTGTATATATGAGGGTTTTTTTTTTTTTGGGGGGGGTTAGTTTTTCAGTGCTACGTGTATCAAAGATGGTTGAGTTTATTTTGGGGTTTTTCACAACATTTGCTCATTACTACTTATCCCTTGTTTGGTTAACAATGTTTTCACCTCAATCTATTATTTCGTGGTCTATTTGATGTTGGTGATTCAAAATTGTTTTGCTTGTGAAAAAAATGTTTGTACCATGAGAAGTTAACTTCTTTGAGGTTCCCTACCCCTTTCATCTTGTATTTCAGGTGGATGAGTTCTCTCGCACAAACATTCCTAGTATATGGGCTGTTGGTGATGTCACAAATAGATTGAATCTTACTCCCGTGGCCTTAATGGAAGGCACCTGCTTTTCAGTATGTGCTCAATCTGTACCCTGATTAGTTATCATCATTGAATTCTCTTTTTTTTTTCCGTTATTAATTCATCATTCAATTCTTTGCTTTGCCTGCAGAAAACTGTTTTTGGTGGGCAGCCTACCAAACCAGACTATAACAATGTACCTTGTGTTGTATTCTGGTAAAGTTTCTTCTGTTCTAGCAAATGCTTCATTTTTCTTCCCTCATATAATTCACCTGAGAGTATCCATCAGTATAATGGAAGTGCTAAAATTGTTCTTGGCGTAGTTTTACAGTTTTTATTCGTATTCAGAGCTTGATAGAAATAAGTTGTTCCAGTAGTTTCATTTTTCTAATGAACCAATTCTGTGTATCTTTTTATTGAAATTTGTTTGTGATATATGATTAGCTTGTGTCTTTTTGTTGTTTTACAGCATACCACCTCTTTGTGTTGTTGGATTAAGTGAAGAAGAGGCTATTGAGCAAACAAAGGGTGATGTTTCGATTTTTACGTCAACGTTCAATCCTATGAAGAACACTGTCTCAGGGTATGTGATTGGACATCTAATTTAGTAGATAACTTTATAAGCTTAAAGGGAAACAACTTACCTTCTTGGTGTAGGAATTTGTTGTAATATCATGGCTTGCAAGGCAAGGGATTTTGAATTTCTTCTTTTGATGATTCCTAATGGTTCAGTACTTTGAAGTCATTGGACTTTTTTTCTAGAAAACATGATTATCTGTGGAATTCCATTTGACGCAATTATGTATACAGACGGCAAAAGAAAACGGTTATGAAGCTTGTTGTTGATTCTGAGATAGATAAAGTTATTGGAGCATGCAAGTATCATTGTCTCTATATCGGGTTTCATAAAGTTCTTAACCTTCAGCTACGTATAGGTTTGAATTCTTCATTCACTTGGAACAGGATAATTCATATTTTCTCACCAGGTACTGTATATATGCCGCCAAAGTGGTCACTGGGGTATCATCAATGTCGTTGGAGCTATGACTCTGACGCATTGTGAGGTTGTTACTTTTGCATTTAAAGAGCTAAATAAATTCTCTCTCTCTCTCTCTATATATATATATATATATATGTTTTATTGTGCATAATTATTCTTTTCTACTGGTTTTTTTGTTTTTGGTATCTTATGACCAAGTTCACAATCAAGGTGGTATTTGACATAAGATATATGTTTGGTCTCTTGTTTTTTTGATGAGTAAAAGCTGATCCTCACATTTATAATTGTGGAAGTCATTTTATTTTTAACTTCAAAAGAAAACAGAAGAAAGTTGTGAATCTTCTATAATTGCCTCCACTTTCTAGATATTTTGATCCTTGTATTTTCACATATGCAGATTGCCAAAACATTTCGGGAGAAAGGTATACCTTGTGATGTTATATGGATGGATATTGATTGCATGAATGGGTTTCGTTGTTTCACTTTTGACCAGGCATGTCCTCATTAGTACGATCTTAGTTAAATTATTATATTATGTAATAATTGAGTACTAACAAACTATTATTTTACTAAAAACAAACACGGCTAACGAACGCAAAACATACACCGACCTTAACAAACATTGGTTTTTTTTAATATTTTTGTTTTTTTTATTTAAATAATATATATTTTTTTAACTCTTGGATAACTAATCTCTCAAAAAACCAACCTTGGTTTATCGCCTGTATTTTCTCAATTGGTGGCGTAGAAGTGCGTGGTAGAAGATCTTTGAAATTCACAGAGTATCTAACTCCACATCATCATTCTCGATGATTTTAGGAAAGTGGCTCCCTCATATTTTGGAGGAATATGGGTTTTAGAAAAAGAAGGGTTAGCCGCTGACATGTTTTTCCTCCCCCCAAAAAAATAATTAAAAAAAATAAAATAATAAAAGTGAGCCAGGACACACTAATCTACTCAATTTAACCATAAAATTAAAATTACTTATCCATGCAGCTGCAAGTTCCGTGTGTTAGTTTGTGTAAAAGTTCATCGATTTATCAATAAATCCTTCCAATATCTACATAATTTAGCACAATTTTTGTTTGAATGGCCAACTTTGCTCTAATCATGGCTTCATATTATATAAACCCATTTGTGGGCTTTCATCCCATCTACAAAGTCTATCACCTTTAGAAGTGGTTCTTGAACTTTTAATACATCTGCCGCCTTGGTTTCCTATCTTTTTACTTTGTATAATTTTTTCTGCTTTTTTTGCATCATCCCTTTTTGGACATTTGTTATGTTTCACTCTTGAGGATCGACCAACTATTCTCTATTAAAGCAGTCTTTGTTTTAATTCAATGCTTTCTCTAAAGTAATTGTAAATTTTAGTGGCAAAAGCAATTTGTGATGATAGGACTAACAACTCTTTATCTCTCTGTTGTGGGAGATGGATCTTACATGAGATCAACAGACCCAAATTGGGAGTTGTAAATAAAGCGTGTGATTATGGCTGTGTTGGCACTATCCAACAAATTAGGTATTCACCTTTGCTAAGCACTCTTTTCCTTCCCTTAATTATCCTCTAATATATAGATCAATTACATTTGAGCTGCATATCCTGTCCATAGCTTGATTTCTCCCTTTTTTTGGCATGAGTTTGTAACCAGCTGCCTTTATATCGACAGTATTGATTCAGTTTACGATATATGACACAACAATATTCTTCCTCTAATTTTCATCACAACATAGAGACCGGGGGGGGGGGGCTTGTCCATGGAGGCCCAGTAATAATCAGTTGTCCCTACTAAGGTACAGGGTCAGTTCATCACAGACATTTTCTGAATAAATTCTGTTCCACGATTGTCTATATCACAAAGAAATTAACAATGTGCTTTCTTGTGGGCCAAGACCATCCATCACATCATAATGTAACAACCTCTCATCAGACCTACCCGACCTAGATTTATGAGATTTTATCCAAGTTGGGGTGGGGGTAAAGCTTCAGAAGCGATATCGCGCGCGAGTTGGTAGAGTGCAGGTTCAGTATACAGCTGTATTAATAATAATAAACCAACTAATTAACAAGTATCTAATAATTTAATTATTTTTTAAACTAGATGGAGGATAAGTTATATTCAAACTTATAGTTAGATGGGCTTTACTTCATAAAAAGATACGCGTAGCTTTTGTTTTCCTTTCCAACCTCTCTTTACAGTATCCAACATTGGTTCTAGCCATTTAGAATTACAAGAGTAGTAGGGCACTGGAGGTGAACAATACAAACATGGCTGAACTGCTGGTTTTCTTTTCCTATATTTTGGTTTCTTTGCTTCTTGTCAGGAGGAGTCGGTAGGGGAGAGTTTGGATTGTTCCTGTTGGCTTCTTTGTTTCTTATGAAAGATCCAATCTATATGTCTAATTAATTGAACTTTTTGGAGAGGATGTATCAATTTTGCGGGAGGGTTGTCCTAGCGCTGGTGAGGTAGCCTCTTACTTTGAATCACTATGAACTTTTCCGCTCTGAGCTATAAACTCCTAGGATGGAGGCTGCAATCTCCTTCATTTATTTCTTATCTTAGTTCCCTATTTTTTTTTGTTCTGGGCCATTAATCCAGTTTTTTTTTCTAAGTTCCCTTCTTTCATCAGCTGACCTGGCATCTAATTTGTTCCGTCAATTCCCTCATTCAGTCTTCTTTTTGTCAGCTTTTATGCCCATTATACTTATACAAATGATCACAGGTCGAGTTAGTGGTTCGAGGACT